AATCACCTTAAAAGCCACCACAAAATATTACTAATCAACATGATACACTATTAACACATGATACATTTTTTTTCCCAGCAAGGTGCACCTTTCTCCTGATTTCCCTAGTTCCACTAAAAAGCCCTACCAACTACCCCACACTTTATCCTTTATAGATTCATAGAAATTCAAGTGCTTAAGAGAGGTAAAGGGTTCAAAAAGATGGTCAATTCAAACATGGGAAAAGGCTTGTAATGTGGTTGCCAAGGAAACATGATTATATGCTCAACGGGGTTAACTACGATACATAACAAATAGGTGGGTGGAATATGTATATATATGGTTCGACAAAGAAATGCCTATATCACTTTCCAGACTAAACAAGACTACTATTTCGCTTTGCAGACACACATGACAAGTTCTAGGCATCAAATGTTGTGCACAGAATACAATAAGCCTCACACACCCACGGCATATGACTCACTCCAGATCGGATCATCAAACACTTAGATCAGAGTAATTAGGCCAAATTAAGAACATACAGTTTAAGGCATTCTTACAAGAGTCAACAAATGAGCCTAAGCGTCACACTAAGTGCCCGCTATATTCAAGGCATTACGATGTTAAGAGATCCTATTCTAATCCTGCCCATAGCCCATAAGTTTCTAACTAAAAAATAAAAACTAACTACACCCGGTTCAAATTAAACCCTTGAAAAAGAACTGTGGTTTAAAGAAAAATCAAGGGGGAATTGATACACCACTACAAAAGAAAATCCACGCTCACCGCACCATTTTTTACTTTTAACCCTTTTTTTGTTCTTTCGACTTTAGTCCCTCAAGAAACCTGTTGAATGATATCCATCGTCCGGACAAGTCGAAAATGATTTACATAAATAAACTACGAACTATTATACATACAACAAAGTGTCCCCCACCCCACACTTAAAAAAATAGCATGTCCCCATGTTATACAAAATAAAGTAATGCGAGGTAAAGGAACTTCCCTGGTGGATCAGTCTTGATCGGAGACAGTGCCAGGGTCGAGATGACACTCCCTCCCTAGCGCACGCATCCAGACCATGATTTTCTTCTCTGACTTCGCATTTTAGGTGGCCAAGGCTTCAACTCTAGCCCCCAATTCTATGACGAAAGTGCGCAGCCCTGCCATATCCTGTTTTAAGGCTGTCATCTCTGTACTCCGTCTGACCTGGGATGGTCCTTCAGCCGTTGCAGCTTGTTCCTGTGGGGGTAATTCAGGTCCAACCTCTTCCTATCCTTCATCGCCCTCCTCCGGCGCATCAGAATCGTCACTATGAGTTGCCCCAGGTGCCACCGGGTATTTCCCGATGGTCACTTTGTCTACCCGAAACTTTGCTTCTTTCTTCACCATGCCATCCACATTTGGGTTCTCAGGTACCCTTGCTGCCCGCCACAATCTAGTGATCAGAGAGGGGAAAAAGAACCCATACCTCTTTCAGTGGTGAATAGACAAACATCTCAGACTGAATAACCTTGGCCACATCAAAATCGCAGCCATTCACGAAGCACCAGATCAAGGCAGCTCTCGGACCATTTACCTTCGTGGTATTATGGGACGGCAGTAAGAAATTGTTGATGATGTGCAACCAGCACTTTCCTTCAAAAGTGAGTGAGGTAGAGTGTAGCTTCGATCCCGGCACAACCCACACTACCTCTTTGTCTGGTACACAGATAGTTCTGAAAAACCTGTTCCATGTGATGGGTTCTCGCTTGTAAGTATCATAGAAATCCTCCTCCCCATTGAATATAGGCAATCGATATACTCTCCTGATAGCTTCTATAGAGGCATCCTCCCTCGTGTGTCACACAGTGCATATTCTATCTTCATGTTCGGGGTAGTTGGCATAGAACCCGGACAAGCATCAAGTTACCCTCCTCCGACTGTTCGAAAAAGCTGTCCAACCTGCGCCTGATCAACTCCCGATACATATTAGGGCACTTATCCTGGAGGGGCTCCATGTCAATACCCCTTTCCGGTACACGTTTTCTAGTGTCCTTCAAACTGAAATGGTTTTGGGCAGCTCTGGAGACAAACCTGGTACGATCCAACTGAGCTGCACTGGTCGGTGCCCGTGCCCGGGATGAACCTCCATGACCACTTGATGAGGCTCTGGTGGTGCGTCTCTTATTTGAAGGTGTCATGGTACTTACTCAACAAACACTACTTTCAGTAATCGGCGGAATATGGGAACCAATGGCGGTTACTCAGACTTCACTCGCACAATTGGTCACAATTTACATTCAAACTTATTGTGGCAATTCAACAAACACTTAAGGTGCATATACCCCCAAGTTACCCAAAGCCCTAATTAAATTTCCATTCCTCACAAACTCAACAATGTCTTCCCCCAATTCAACCAAATCTATTAGCCTCACATGCAACATATATACTACAATCCTAAACCAAGTCAAGCGTACACATGATTCTACTATCCTACACATACAATAGCAAAGGAAAAGAATGGAAAAAATAAAAAATAAAAAACAAAAAAGAATACTAAGAAAGAGGAATAGAATCATGTTACTTACTTGGAGATCTTGGGAGGAACGGAGGTTGGTGATTGGTTGAGTGGAGAAGAGGAGGAAGGAGAAGAAACTTTGTTGATGAGAAAAATTTTGAGGGAGAGGGAGAGGGGGCGTGTGCTTTGTTTTAGGGGAAGGAGAAGGCTTTTAGATTTTGTTAAGGGGGAGGGAAAGAAGAAGTAGGGGAGTGGGCGGTTTTGGGGGGGGGGGGGTTAAGTAAAAAACATTAATTAATAGGAAAGAAAAGAAAAGAAGAGAAAAGAAAAGAAAAGAAAAAGAAATTAGTAACAAATTATGAACCTGAAACTGCCTCATCCGCGGTCGATCGCGTCCAATCCGCAGTCGCGGATAAGGAACAGTGAGGGGGACAAAATCTGCGCCCCAATCCACGGTCAAGTCCATGCCTGCAGACATGCGACAGTGAAGGCAGTAAAATCCGCGGTCGACTCCGCGGTCTAATCCGCGGCCGCGGATATCGATCTATAGCAATTTTTTTGTCTTTTTCGCACTTTTACCTATCTCTGGGTTAATTTCAACCCCCGAATCCTTTCGATGTGCATAAGTTTATCCCTGCACATTAGTAGATCGGTCAATGCCGTTCAAAATCAATTACAAAAACAAGAGTAAAGAAAAATAATGGGTTGCCTCCCAAAAAGCGCTTGAGTTAACGTCGCGGCAAGTTATTTACAACAAACCATGCGTTGCCTCCCAGGAAGCGCCTGAATTAACATCGCGGCACGACGCATAATTTCATTATTACTCTTCGCTTGTGTATTGGGGCTCTTTTAAAGATATCACCACTTTATCCCCCATTTCTTCGACCATTCCAAGGTAATGTTTCAACCTTTTCCCATTCACTATGAACTTATTTGTCCCATCTTCAGATTCAATTTCTACAACTCCACTTGAGAACACTTGCACCACTCAGAAGGGTCCTGACCATCGGGACTTCAACTTAACTAGAAACAATCTCAATCTCGAGTTGTATAACAATACTAGATCTCCGGGTTTGAAGTTCCGATTTAGAATGTGCTTATCATGCATCATTTTCATTCTTTCTTTGTACAATCTTGCATTCTCAAATGCATGAAACCTGAATTCCTCGAGTTCATATAACTCAGTGACTCTGTTGGTGCCTGCGGTCTCCATATCCAAATTCAACTGCCGCAGTGCCCAAAGGGCTTTATGTTCGAGCTCTATCGGAAGATGGCATGATTTTTCAAACACCAACTTGTATGGTGACATACCAATTAGAGTTTTAAATGTTGTGCGGTACACCCATAATGCATCATCCAGCTTCTTTGCCCAATCAGTCCTTGTCGCATTCACTGTCTTGGTCAGGACACTTTTGATTTCCCTATTGGACACTTAAACTTGCCCGCTCATTTGTGGGTGGTAAGGTGTGGCTACCTTATGGCAAACTCCATACTTTTCCAACAGCCGTGCGAACACTCTATTGGAAAGATGGGTTCCACCATCACTGATTATAGCTCTTGGGGTGCCAAAACGTGTGAAGATGTTTTTCTTTTGGAAGCCTGTCACCCCTTTTGCATCATTGGTTGGGAGATCCACCGCTTCGACCCATTTGGAGACATAGTCAACTCCTACCAATATGTATTTGTTACCATACGAGCTAACGAAAGGCCCTATAAAGTCAATCCCCCACAACTTAAAAGCCTACACCTCTTGAATTGTGGTCATCGGCATCTCGTGACGTCGAGATATGTTGCATGTCCTTTGGCACTCATCGCAACTTTTTACCCAAGCATGGGCATCCTTGAACAGAGTTGGCCAATACAACCCTGATTCCAACACTTTTGCTGCTATCCGAATTCCTCCAAAGTGTCCACCATATGGTGAAGCATGGCAAGCCTGCAAAACAGAAGGTTGATCTTTCTTGGGGATACACCTCCGGATCATGTTATCTACACATATTCTAAGAAGTAGAGGTTCATCCCAATAATAAGATTGACAATCGTGAAAGAACTTTTTCTTTTGAATTGAAGAGAGTTCATAATGTACAATACCACTTGCTAAATAGTTAGCAATATTAGCATACCATGGCGTCTCCTCCATTGTCACAACGAGTAACAGTTCATCCGGGAATGTCTCTCTTATATCTTGAACCTCCATTTTCTTGCCAGCTCCTTCCAACCTTAAGAGGTGGTCTGCCAGTTGATTGTTTGTCCCTTTTCTATCACGGATTTCCAAATCAAACTCTTGTAGCAAAAGAACCCAGCGGATTAAGCGTGACTTTGACTCCTTATTTTTTATCAAGTACCTAATTGCTGCATGGTCAGTATAAGCAATAACTTTTGAACCAATTAAGTACGACTTGAATTTGTCGAAGGCAAATACTACAACCAACATTTCTTTTTCTATTACGGTGTAATTGAGCTGTGCACCGCTGAGCGTCCTGCTTGCATAGTAAATTGGGTGCATCATCTTGTCTTTTCGCTACCCCAAAACTGCTCCTATAGCATAATCACCGGAGTAGCACATGAGCTCGAACGGTTGCTCCCAGTTGGGTGCAACAATAATGGGTGCAGTTACCAGTCCCTTCTTCAGCTCATCAAATGCCAACCTGCAATCATTAGAAAACACAAAGGGCTGTTCCTTTTCAAGAAGTTTACATAGAGGGTTAGCAATCTTGGAAAAATCTTTTATGAATCGCTTGTAGAACCCGACGTGCCCAAGGAAACTTCTCACTTCCTTGACCAAAGTGCGCGGTGGCAATTTCTCAATCACATCAACCTTAGCATGGTTGACCTCAATTTCCTTACTGGAGACTCGATGCTCCAAAACTATTCCTTCTTGTACCATAAAATGGCACTTTTCCCAATTCAACACCAAATTTGTCTCCACATATCGTTTGAGAAGTCTTCTTAATTGTGAAGACAATCTTTGAATGAATCCCCCACCATGGAGAAATCATCCATAAACACCTCCATAATGTCTTCAACCATATCAATGAAAATGGCTAACATGCACTCTTGAATATAGCCGGCGCATTGCAAAGTCGAAAAGGCATTCTCCGAAAGGAAAATATGCCATACGGACAAGTGAAGGATGTTTTCTCTCTATCTCCAAGGGCTATTGAGATCCGGTTGTACCCCGAATGTCCATCCAAGAAACAGAAGTGAGACCGCCCAGCTAACCTATCCAACATTTGGTCAATGAAAGGCAATGGGAAATGGTCCTTCTGGGTGGCTGTGCTCAATTTCCAATAGTCCATGCAAATCTGCCACCCCATGACTATACGAGTCAAGATCAACTCGTTATTCTCATTTTGTACAACCGTCATTCCTCCATTTTTTGGCACACACTGAACAGGGCTGACCTAGTTACTGTTATAGATGGGGAAGATGATACCCGCATCCAGCCACTTGATCACTTCCTTCTTCACCACCTCTTTCATATTCGAGTTCAACCGTCTTTGATGCTCTATGGAAGGTTTGTGCCCCTCTTCCAAGAGAATCTTGTGCATACAAAAGGCTGGGCTGATACCCTTTATATCTGCCATGGTCCAACCAATGGCAGTCTTACATTCTTGTACCACCTGTAAGAGTTGCTCTACCTACACAGCTAGCAAACCAGATGATATAATAACAGGCAAAGTAGAATTAGGCCCTAAGAAAATGTACCTGAGGTGAGCTGGAGGCGGTTTCAAGTCCAACTGTGGTGGCTCCTCTATTGATGGTTTTGCAGGTGGTGTTTCTCTTTCTTCTAAGCGTAGGGGATCGAACCAAGGTTCCCTTTTCCAGAACCCTTGACCCTCGAGAGACAAGACCCACTCCGTCAGCCCTTCACTATCCATCTCTTCCAAATTCATCAAACAGGCTTCTAGCGGATCCCTGACATTAAGGGTCTCATCCTCCTCTTGCAGTATTACATCCACTGCCTCCACTAGCTAGCAATTTGCAAATTTGCGGGGTCTCCCCATTGATTGTTGAAAGTTGAATATTATTTTTTCATTGTTCAACCTCATTTTCAACTCTCCAGTCTCACAATCAATCAATACTCTCCCAGTGGCTAAGAACGGCCTTCCCAGAATTATGGGTATCTCTTCATCCACTTGACAATCTAGAATAATGAAGTCTGCAGGGAATACAAACTTCCCTACTTGAACAATCACATCATCAAGAATTCATGTCGGTCTTTTGACTGTGCGATCAGCCAGTTGCAACAACATTGAGGTCGGTCTAGCTTTGTCAATGCCCAGTTTTGTATAGATTGCCAAGTGCATCAAGTTTATACTGGCCCCCAAGTCACACAATTCTTTAGCAAAAGCATAACTCCAAATGGTGTATGGGATAGTGAAACTACCTGGATCAGACACTTTTTGAGCCTTAAGTCTTGTCACTACCGCGCTGCAAGTCTGTGTCAGAGTTATAGTGGACAAGTCCTGGAAGTCAAATTTTCACGACATCAGGTCATTCATCATTTTTGCATACCATGGCATTTCCCTCAAAGCATCCATCAGTGGAATATTCAATTGAATTTGTCGAAGCATTTCCATAAATTTCCTGTATTGATCATATTTCTTTTGCTTTGCCAATCTCTGAGGGAATGGTGCAGGAGTCAACCTCTGCCCACTGCTTGGTGTCTTTTCTTTGTTGGAAGCTTTTTCTACCACCTGTTCTAAGAGTTGTTCACCTTCCTTCTCCTTACCCTTGTCAACTTGTGCTTGTTCAATTACAACCTCGGTGAGCTCTGCTGACTCATCTACCTCTAATGTAACTGGAGTAGTTAGCGTAGTCTCTCTCCTAGATTGAGACCCTTCTTGCTCTCTGTCTAAATCTCTTCCATTCTTGAGACTCACTACCATTAGCTGATTTGGGTTATGTTCCTTTGGGTTAATATTTCTATCTGTAGGCAATGTTCCTTGTAGGCGATTGTTCAAGGCCATAGACAGCTGTCCCAATTGAGTTTCAATGCCTTTGATTGCTGAATCATGTGCTGCTAACTTTTCTTGCATCTTACCATTTGTCCCAATGAGTTGTTGCAGCATGCCCTTGATTTCTATCATGTTGTTGTCCTGCTGTTGGTGAGGTGGTTGGTAGGCCAACTGTTGCTGGTGCTGCTGATTATAGACATGTTGCCTTTGATAAGGCATGACTTGGCCTTGTGGTCGTGCGCTTCCTGGATTGGGGTTGTGTTGTGGCTGGTTTGGTCTATACTGCTGGTTTGGTGCTGGTCCCCATTACTGCCCACCTTGCCTCTGAACTCCGAAATTGTTGACATAATTCATGTCTTCTTTGAAGCTCTGGTTGTCATCCTCTCCACTCCACGAGCGCACATATGACTGTTTATGCAAGGAGTGCAAAAGCCTCCATTTGTTGTATCAACAATGTGCACTTGCTTTGTATCCATCTCATCAATTTTCTTTGTCAGTAAGCTCATTTGGGTCATGAGAGTGGCTATGTTCTCTGCATTGGAATTGTTTGGGTCAAGAGCAATAGAATGCACTATTGGTGTAAGTGTCGTACCTCTAGTCATCCAGCCTGAATTTTGAGCCATCTTGTAGAGAAGAATCTTGCACTCTATGAATGTTTTTCTCAAAAATGCACCCCTAGCTGAAGCATCTACATTGGCCTTCAAACAGTCTGCCAAACCCATGTAGAATGTTTGTCCCAGCATCTGATCTGGAATGCCATGGCACTTCACTAGCATACCTTTAAACCCCTCCCAGGTTTCCTGCAAGGTCTCAGTTGGTTTCTGTCTGAACTGCAATATCTCATCAATTTGCCTTGCAGTCTTGTTGGGAGGATAGAACTTGTTTGAGAACTGCTTGACTAATTCTTCCCAATTAGCAATGAAGTTTATTTGGAGCGAATTCAGCCAAGTTTGAGCCTCTCCAGTCACTGAGAATGGGAATAATAATAGCTTAATGGCTTCAGGAATTACATTCGGTTGTCTTTAAATCACACAAATTGATAGGAAGTTCTTCAGATGTTGTTGTGGGTGTTCGATGTATGACCCGGAGAACAGTCCCTTATTCTACAACAGGTGCAGCATGTTGTTGGTAATCTTGAATGTGTCCCCTTGTATCTGAGGAACAACAATGGCGGTGGCTAGGTTATTAGCAGTTGGTTGTGCCCAATCATAAAGAGCAGCTTCCGACATAATAGGTGCCACCACTCCATTGTTTGGGTCAACACGATCATTCCGATTGTTTCTGTTGACGTTGTCCGCATTGTCCATTTTACTTTCGAGTTGATCTTTTTGTCTTAACTGTTTATTCTTCTTGTTGGCTCGATTCAATGCCGTGAATACTTTATCGGGGTCTGAGAGTCCTTCAAAATGTTCACCAGTCCTTAAAGAGCTTCTAGGCATACACCTGAGTTACAGAAGAGTTCAAACGTGAGAATTTCAATGGAAAAATTTAACACCGTAGGAAATTGATCTAAACTAAGAATCCTAGAAATTCTTCTAAGTTGTAATAAATAACACTGTTAGTTCCCCTGCAACGACGCCAAAATTTGATCACGCCCAACTATGCCTTGTAAAAAGGACTAAGCGGTCGCTGCAAATATAATCTGGTTCAAGTCCGGAGTCGAATCCTACAGGGAACTAACCTATTTACTATAACTTTTAACAATGCTAATGATAAGCTCAGACAATTTTAGTATGCAAGATTTTAAATAGAGCATAAGTGGAATTTATTTGTTTAATGAAAAATGACAACAAAATTAGTAATAATCAAGAATAAGGTTGAATTTAAAGGTAAAGGGATCTAGGGCTATTGATTTCCCAAACTGCCATACTAATTCCTGACACGTTAGCTATAATCTCGCTGTAATACGCTATGAGGATTATGAGTTTCGGGCTACGGTAATTATATCTCGATAAATTAGGATAATTTACTGGAAGCATTGTCACAACCCATATTTTCGTACGTACGAGTACGTCGTAAATCAATTGACGTAAGCTCAAAAATGAAATCATATTTGAAACGTTTACAAATTAAGTGAATAATGTTACCTCATAAGTTACAAATATTGATGATCATGAACAACAAGTACAAAGAGGATTGGAAGGTTCAGAAGCTAAAGGAATTGAAGAAAATAATGTTTCATCGAAAGTCGACAAGTTGGGAATGTTATAGCATGTACTTTAGGGGTGATACCAGAGTGTTTAACATGATATGGAGGTTATGTTATGATTTATGCTATTCGTATGATAGTCGTGTGTTATCTTTTGAAGTCAAGCGAGTGGTGGAACAAAAGTCGATGAAAGTCATCACAAGTTACGTTCATAAGTTTTACGAAAAATTTGGGTCAAATGTAACTGCAATTTTCTCTCAATATACTTAGAGTTATGGGGTGTTCCACCTATAAAATTAAAGATATATGAGTCTATTTTCCAATGCATTAAACCGTTTGTCAATACGATATTGGAGTAGAGATATATGGGCATTTTTGCGAGACTTCACACACTATCACCTACTTGCTTAAACGAGAATCCAAAACTGGGCCAGTTCGGGTCGTCAAAAAATGGGCCAGTTTGGGTCGTTTAAAGAGGTTTTTTAAATGCCTATCCCCTTCATATATTAGGCTGATAATAGGGCAAAATAACCGGACTTAATCTCTGCAAAACTCCTTCCAAAAATTTCTCCCAAACCCCAATTGATTTTTTCTCCCTTTCAAGTTCTAATTGGAGGTACAACCAAGAGTTTGAAGAACCAAGATAGGAGCTGAGTTATCTAACAAATAAGGTTTGTTTACTGCTCTATTTCATCCATTTTTTCTGCTGTAGATGATTAGTAAGTCGTTCTATATTTGTAAGAACTCACGGGACAGTGATCGGAAGCCTTGAGTTTGAGTTATTTACTTGTAACAGACTATTTTGTGGACTGTTTTGTGGTGCTGTTGGGCTGCGTGTTTTACTACTTTTTTTTAGAGTTTTGGAGGAGGAAGGGTGTGGAGAAACACCCCATAAAATCAGGATGTTGGGCTGGTCATTCATTGTAACATTTTCGGGTTGTTGACACTACTATGGTGGTCGTTTTGTGTATGAAGAGATTGGGGTGTGTTGGGCTCCTTTGTAGTATTGTGTGGTGTACATAAGGTTGGAAAGTAATGTATATATGTTGTTATTGTTGTTTTTGGTGTTGTTGGTATTATCTTGAAATTGGAGGAAGTAAGGATTATAGGGAAATGCTGTCCGTTTTGATACAAAATAAGTTTGTCGTTAGTTGTGCGATAGTTGTACCTTTTTTAACTTAATGGTAGTATTATTATCGTTGTTATAGATTAAGGTGAGAATAGGCGAGTTTAAATTGGTGATTGTAAAGATTGTGATAAGGTATGTTAAGGCTAAACCTTTCTTCATTTTGGCATGATCCCGTAACTACATGAGTTTGATAACGAGGCATAAAGAGAAGTTCGTATTCCAGGATTTATTCACATTATCCTAGTCTCAGAAGTTACAGTATTCTCCCATATCGGGACTTCATATTCAGTTTAGTATTGTCTTCTTTCAGCCAAGAGAGCAGAGAGTGTATATATATATATATATACAGTATTACAGTATTTTCACCACCATCGAGCTATAATCGGTGGGCAGGCCCCTATTGGGCAACCTCTGATCAGATGGTAAGTTATATACCGAGCCTACTGTGTCCAAGCACCTATTAGCGAGCCCAGAATGGCCGATATACATAGCCTAGTATGGCCGAGCGTCTATGAGTGAGCCTACTGCGGCAGGGCAGTTACACATACCGAGCCTTATAGGGCCAGACAACTATTTTACATACTATATGGAGAGAGTTGAGTCAGCATCAGCAGGTAAGAATATCTTCAGATTATTTTTGACTCCCATTTACATTCAGTTATTATATCATCAGTTCAGTTTCAGCTTTCAGTTATTTTGTTGCCTTACATACTCAGTACATTATTTGTACTGACGTCCCTTTGCTGGGGACGCTGCATTTCATGCCTGCAGGTCCTGATAAACAGCTGGATAGACTTTTCCCAGTAGAGAGAGCAAAATATCAGCTTGGTTGGTAAGCTTCACTTCCCCGGAGTTACCAGGTCTAGACCTTGGAGTCTTTTTATATATACCGGTTTGATGGGTAGGTCGAGGCCCTGTCCCAACTATGATACAGTCCAGCGATCTCTAGAGGCTTGTAGACAAGTCCTGTATAGTTTGTATACCAGTAGATATTCATGGCGGCCTCGTCAGCCTGCATATTTATATATATATATATTCAAATAAATATGAGTTTTTGGGTATGTTTACCCCTCAGATGAGAGAGACAATATTTTTAGATGATTCAGAATATGGCCTCATCGGCCTAGATAGAGGGTTACTCCTCTAGAGCTCACAGTTACAGAGTGTTACGCTCGGGCCGAGTATGGTACCGGTCGCCGGCCACGTCTCTTCAGGTTTGGGGCGTGAGAAACTTGCTATCAGAGCAGTTCTATCCTAGGGAGTTTACAAGCCGTGTTTAGTAGAGTCTTGTTTAAAGGTGTGTTGTGCGCCACACTTATAAGCAGGAGGCTACAAGGCATTTAGGAGTCTGTTACCCTTCATTCAAATCCAAATCGTGCTATAGATCTGAGTCATAAGAGTTCAAGCCAAAGCTTATGTTTTCTAAAGATATAGAGATGCTTTCAATTAGAAAAATTATAGTTAGCAAGAGGGATAATACATCAGCAGGTAAGGGCATTAGTAGAGAGAGAATTCTTGACTACGTGGCCCTGTTTGAGACCATATTAGATCGTGCTTACCATATGTGTGAATTTCCCATTTACCCTTAGACGGGAATATCTAACATATCCCGTGCATAGCAGGCCATGGGAGTATCAGAAAGTAAAAGTAAAGTTTCAACAGGTAACATAAGAAAGGTGAAGAAGGGTACGAGGTACCTAGTTAATGGAGATTATCTGAAATTCCACGCCAGGCAGAGAAATAAAAGAATTCTAGGTTACCTTTAACAGAAATAGAGGTATGCACAATTGGCCACACCCATCTCAGTTATGCCATATGGGAGCTAACATATATAGTTTACGAGAAGGATAGGATATCAAGATCCAGCTTGGGTTAGAGTAACCCGAAATTGTGGATTGAGCTAGGGGAGCTAAAAGTGAAACAATGTTTTGTTGAAGTTTT